CTGGAAGGGACCTCAGAAGATCATAGAGTCCAGCCCCCTGCCCCAGGGGCAGGAATTCAGCAGGGATCATAGGATCCCAGCAAGATAAACATCCAGATGTCTTTTGAAGGCGTTCAGAGTAGGTGCTTGAACCACCTCTGGCAGCAATCTATTCCAAACCTTGGGGGCTCAGACAGTAAAGAAGTTCTTCCTTCCCAGGTGTTTCCCAGTCTCTCCTGTTGGAACTATCCAACTTTGCACAAATTATTTACTGAAACAAAAACTTGAACCCAGCCGAGTCCCCTAACCAATTTCCATATCCCAGCTAAGTGTTCTAACTACCATGGTATGAAGTCAAAATGTATCTGCCTTTCTCAGTCTCTTGGGTTGGGTTCACCAGTGAGAAGTGAAAGGCTCAGCTGTTTTTGCATGGTCTTGGAGTGACCTGGAGGACTTCTGGAGGACTTTTGGTGTGTGCAGCAAAAGCAATAACTATTGCCCTCCATAAACGTGCCACCGGCACCTTTTGACAGTGGTAAAAACAAATAACTACGTACACTCCACTCAACTATGTACACTCCACTCTACAGAGTAGAAGTTCAGGCATTCATCTGGGGTACACTGCAACATGTGCTCATACTATGGCAGAACTTGCCTTTTACTTGCTTTACCTTACACGTTAATTATTTTACTGAAATTAAAAGCTATTTACATTTTTTTTATGTCCAGTCTGAAACTGTCATGGAGGAGTTTGTGACCGTTTGACCTTGTCATTCCTTGTGCCGTTCTGCTGAACAGACATTCCCCCAGATCCTGGTGAGCACCCCTGATATACTTAAAGGTGGCCACCAGATCAGCTCTGAGCCTGCACTTTTCCAGGCTGAAGAGTCCCATAGCTCTCAGCCTCTCTTCATAAGGTCTGCTTTCCTGACCTCTGATTACATGCATGGCTCTCCTCTGCACCCTCTCAAGCTTCTCCATGTTCTTTTTGAATTGTGCAGCCCAAAACTGGATGCAGTACTCCAGCTGTGGCCTCACCAAGGCCGAGTACAACAGGAGAATGACATCCTGGGATTTACTGTTCCCTACAGGTCCAGACCAGTGCAGAGTATTCCTCCTTGTAGGTGGATCCAGTCCTCCATCCTTTGTAGGTTTGTCTTTTTAGATTCCAGAGGTCCACAAGTTCCCTGGAGAGCCAAGGGGGCTGCTATGCCCTTTTACTGCCTTTCCTCCAAGATGGGATAGACTTTGCTTGCGCATTTAGGATCGCTCCCTTGAGGAACAACCACTTGTCCTGAACTCCCCTCCCTTTTGGCTGTGGCCCTTTAGGGCCTCCATGACAAGCCTCCTGAATTTGTCAAAGTCAGCTTTCCTGAAGTTCAGGACTTCTGTATTGCTGACTGACTTGCCGGCGTTATGGCAGATGGTGAAGGTGATCAGCTTGTGATCACTGTCACCCAGCTTTCCTTTGATCATTATGTCACTGATTAAGTCATCCCCCATTGTCAGAACCAGGTTGAGCAGCACTTTACCTCTTGTCAGCCCTTCTTGCATCAGATAGAGCTCATCCATGCACAAGAGCAAGCTTTCCAACCACTTGGATTTGGCCAAGTGCTCTTCTCACAAGATGTCTGGGTATTTGAAGTCTCCCATGACAACCATGCACCAGGAGTGTGCAGCCTCAGCCAATTCCCTGGCAAACTCCTGGTCAAGCTCTTGATCCTGGGTCTGAGGTCTGTAGTAGATTGCCACCATTGCGTCTCCTGTGCCGTGTTCCCCATGGATTTTAACCCAGAGGGTCTCTAGTTGTCTACCCTGGGTGCCAATGTCGGCTTGCAGGGATGCGTAGCTTTCCTTGACATAAAGCGCTACATCCCTGCCCCTTTTGTCCACTTGATCCCTCCTGTACAGGGTATAGCGATCTATACCTGTGGCCCAGTCATGGGTGGAGTCCCACCAGGTCTCCGTTATCTCTATGACATCATAGTTATTTGTTTTAAGTAGGGGGACAAGTTCCTCCTGTTTATTCCTCAAGCTCCTGGCATTTGTGTACAGACAGGCAAGTGTCCCTTTGGGGGCACTTGCCTTGCCTGCAGCTCACTCCAGGGCTGGGGCAGAGGTGGGCTTCCTTAAGTGCCCTGGCCTGCTGGCTTTGCAAGGGTTGCTCAGAGGGCCAGCAGTGGCAGTAGTGCCCCCATCCCCCAGCAGGCTTAATTTATCCAAAAGGTAAGAAGTTTGAACCAAGTTCAAACCAAATCCAAAAGGTAGGAAGTTTCAGGTTTCCCTATTTTCTTTTGGTCCCTGAAAGGGACTTTATATTGAGAAAGCAGGTATAGAACACTTTCTGAAAACCAGGCTTCTTCAAAGAACCACATTTGGGAATCTTGAAATTAAGGCTCCCAAACTCATAGGTCATTTTTTCATAGATTGCATAGACTTAAGGGCTGGAAGGGACCTCTAAGATCATCAAGTCCAGCCCCCTGTCCCAGGGGCAGGAAGTCAGCTAGGGTCAAAGGATCCCAGCAAGATAAGTATCCAACTGTTTCTTGAATGAGTCCAGAGTAGGTGCCTGCACCACAGTGGGAGGGAGTCTATTCCAGGTCTTGGGGGATAGGACAGTAAAGAAGTTTTTTCTTATGTCCACCCTAAAATGGTCTTGGAGGGGTTTATGACTGTTGGTCCTTGTTTTTCCTTGGGGCACTCTGGTGAACAGACATTCTCCCAGGTCCTGATGTACACCCCTTATGTACTTATAACTAGGTCCCCCCTGAGCCTGCACTTTTCCAGGCTGAAGAGTCCCATGGCTCTCAGCCTCTCTTCATCAGACAATAACTTCGGTTTTAATTGTATGAAGGTATTGTAATACAACAGCACAAAGGAAAAATCCTCAACGTATTCCATGACCTTCCAAAATTCATTGCTCCCAGTTACTACTGTTCCCACTACTAATGAATCAGGCCTTTAAGAAATTGCTAAATTTGTTCATCACTGCCTGCTCACAGTGGTCACAGCCAACTCCTACCACCACTGCTTCTGGCATGGGTTTCCCCATACATGAGACCAGATATCCTAGCCAGTGAAGTGGAGAGCAAAGCAAGGGTTCTTTCCTGCTCCCTTGGGGGATATTAGATGTCTCCAACTGATTCTCCTAGTTCCTGTGCACCAGAAATGTCTGGGCTTTGGGCAGCCTCAGGTAGGCAAGGAAAAGGAAAGGGCTCCTTATAGCCACTTCCAGTTCATTTTTCCCTCCAACACAGAGCTAGGTATAATATACATGCCTTGCACTAGCCCAGGATCTATACTCATAAATAAATAGAATTCAGACACCTTTCCTCATTTGTTTGCCTCATATTTATTCTTCATAAACAAAACTTTAAGCTCAGGGAAGAAAAGATTTCTGAAAGTTCATTTGACCTTCCTGATGCAACACAAGCTGCTGAGTGCACAGAATCCTTAGACAGCATCTTTCACAGGAGCAAAAATCTATTTCCATGACTCAGTGAATGTTCATGCTCTTTTTGCCTCTAAACACTAACTTAAAGTATGGCTGCAGAAGAGCAGGGACTTGGTTGTAGCCATTCCATTTTCAATAACTGTTTAGCGAAGCTGCAACTACCAAAACAGTTCAGAATTTCCTAGATTTGGGAAATGTTTCTGACACTGTTAATAGGTTAACAGCTACCAACCCTATCCAGCTCCCTTCTTTCATTCGTCCATGTGTAAATGTATCATATTTTTTGGTGGCATTTCCTATTTAGTTTGGTGGTTTTGTTACCAGCCTGTTTGGGCCCTTTTCCCCCCTTGCATTATGAAAGATTATAAATGAAAGCACTTGTTTCAGCTATAACCATCTTATCTTACATCGCCGACCTTTTGTCCTAATCTTTTCTTACACTCGCCATACAAGCTATGCTTTTGTGTTTGCTTGCTTTTTTACATTTTTTATTTTTTCTCTAGAAAAAAAATGTTGCAAATGATAAGCACCATAATGAAGGCAATAAACTGCATTTGGGGAATGTTTTTGATGAATAGCAATAAAAATGGAGCTCTGAAGGGACTGAAACTATTCATGAATTCAGGTCAAATTTGCCTAATCATTTTTGATGAGAAAAATGGTAAAACTTTTTAAAAATATTAGAAGACTGCTTTTCAACATTCTCAAAAAAATGTTTCATTTCAGAGTACGACCACATTTCATTTCAACATTTAAAAAAAAAAAGAAAGGTTTCAACTTTTCTTTTCAAAATGTAATCTATCTATTTAAAGTATGACTTAACTGAGAAAGATTGGGAACAGGTTGAAAAGAGAGTGAAATAATAAAAAATGAACATTTTTGTTTTGGGATGAATTAGATATATCAGGCTGACCCACAACATAATATTTGCATTTTTCATTTTGTTAAAAAAAACAGGGGAAATTGTTTCAGTTTGATCCATACTGATATTTTTATATCTAATTTTTTACTTCAGCCACTGAAACAAAAAATCTGTTGATCACCCAGCTCCATAGCTCAAATTAACGGATACATAAAGGCACGAATGAGGTCCTTTTGCCATGGAATATCCCTTCTCTCACTGATCACCTCTCCGCATGATGATCAATTAAAAAACATGGGGGTTTTACAGAACATTTAAAAATGATCCCAAATGAATACCACTCATCAGCTTCATGGTGAAAACCATTCAGTCTGAAATTGATTTAAAGGGATTGGTGTATATACCTGTAGATATACGTGGTGACATTTCCTACCTCCCACTCAATTGCTATTGAGCAAATCCATTTCCAATTAACTGAGCTGCTAGTTGGGATTAAATAATGCTAAACTGCTTAACCCAAACAGCCAGCTTTAAAAGAGCTCCTGCCTCGCTGGAGACTGTAATAATAAAAGTGTAAATTTGAAGAGTACAAAACAATTCTCTGCAATATAATACAAAAGACTAGGTGTCATGCTGAGGTTCCCTAAGTTTTGATCATTAACTCAGTCAAGTAGCAATATTCTGATCAAGCTCTGCAATATTTACCCTGTTGGGGTCCTGACCATAGCACACCCTGCAGTGGGGGTGATGTCTCCAGTCATCATCTTAAATGTTGTACTCTTCCCAGCTCCATTTGTACCAAGCAGTCCAAAGCACTAGCATAGAAAACATACACCAATACAATCATTATATTTGTAAAGGTATTGTAGCTAACAGTATAAATATTTAATCATTCTTTACACTTGGATAGATTATTTGTAAGGGTATAAATGTATATGCATATACACATACTCATGCATACACAGAAGTGACAAAAATAATTTCAGACTTCTTTAGGCTCCTTGAAAAAGGAATTCAGTGAAATTAAAGGAAAAAGCAGTGCAGCATAAAAGTTATTCTGATCATTGGTGAACAATGCCAAAAAGTACCCAAACAACTTGAAGCCAGGTTTCTTTGACAGTCCTATTCAGTAACTATATACAGCTACTTATGATAACACAGGTAACGTATTTTCCTTTTAAGTCATAAGAAAGGAAGAAAGCAAAAAAGAGCAGAAATAATAAAGGTTTGTGTGTATGTATGTATGTACTCCATCTTTTTGCTGGATGATGATAGTTAAGGCTGAATGAATGCATACTGTCTATGTTTTCTGCTTCTTGAACACTGTTCTTTGAAAATGGGATAAAAACTCAAAATTTGCAAGGTATGCATTTTGTCATTTCCAGTCTGCTGTTTAGAGACAGTGCCTAAACCCAGAACAAATGTACTCATACGCACACACACTGGGTATCTTCCCAACCTTTCATGGTTCATAGAGCAGGAAAAGAGAAATTTAACCACAGACTTCTGGATAAGGGGTATCCTGCCATGTCTGTAAGGCTCATCGGTAGAATGTCTGTGGCACATGGGAGAGGTTTATTTAACTAGCAGAGCTTTTGCTTCTATTACTACAATGATACATGTTCCAGTGGATTATACACAGCACTGTTACAGTCTTGCTATGAGGAGAAAACATACCAGTTATTTAAACTTGTCTACTGCTTTAAAAAGGGATGTCTAACTAAGGAAATTCTCCTACAAAATATTACAATTTCAGTTATAAACTGCTATTAAATTTTAAAAACATATTATTAGAATGCTTCATATTAAAAAGAGAGGGAGAGGAAGAAGAAACTAAACATTTGAAACTCAGGCACCTGAAAGTTAGAAAACATTTAAGTGTCAGGAATTTCAGAGAGTTACGGCTTTGTGACTAACTCTGATCTTAACCTGCCCTTGATACCAGTTTTCTGCCCATGGCTCTAGAATCCACTTAACTGCAATCACTCTACTGCTAAAAGAAGATGCTTCCTCTAAACATAGCAGTAACATGCAGGAAAACAATTTGGGGGTTAGCTGAATATTTGTTCCACTACATATTTGACATACCATCAAGCAGGTAACTTTTATAGTGAAGTAAGAAATGGTTTTCCTGACTTTGTGAATGTGTTCAATTGTTGGAATCTATTCTAATCCCTCATCGAGACAAACCTGAGACCTTTCATGACTTTTCAATAAAAAAAAGATGAGGCCCATGCACAAAGCACACATACAATCCAGAAATGCCAACAGCCTGTGTCCAGTGCCTTCTCTTCAGATGTAGATGACCTAGGTTCAAACCCTTGCTCCAAATTGGACACTGGAATGATCTGAAATGAAGTCTTCCATGTCCCCAGTAAGCCTCCGGCCAGACTACAGGGTGCACTTGGACTGGTGTTTCCCAGTCTCTCCTGTTGGAACTGTCCAACTTTGCATAAATCATTTATTGGAACAAAAACTTGAACCCAGCCGAGTCCCCTAACCAGTTCCCATATCCCAGCTAAGTGTTCTAACTACCATGGTATGAAGTAAACATTTATCTGCCGTTCTCAGTCTCTTGGGTTGGGCTCACCAGTGAAAAGTGAAAGGCTCAGCTGTTTTTGCATGGTCTTGGAGTGAGGACTTTCAGTGTGTGCAGCAAAAGCAATAACTATTGCCCTCTATAAACGTGCCACCGGCACCTTTTGACAGTGGTAAAAACAAATAACTACGTACACTCCACTCAACTATGTACACTCCACTCTACAGAGTAGAAGTTCAGGCATTCACCTGGGGTACACTGCAACATGTGCTCATACTATGGCAGAACTTGCCTTTTACTTGCTTTACCTTGCAGGTTAATTATTTTATTGAAATTAAGAGCTATTTTCAATTTGTTTTAATGAAGTGGCATAACTGGTAAGTATATTTACATTATTAATAACCACCTCTAAGTTAGGCATTTCCAAGTAGCTGCTGGCAAACTACACAAAAACCCCAAATGTCACACACTGGACTCCCACCTCTTCTAACTGGTTTTTCACCTTCTCCTCCCTGTCACATATATAAAGAATTTTTGCTGCATTTTTTAATCTTATGTCTGCATGGCCCTTTGAACATTAGAGAAAAAAAACTAACAGAAAAAAATCCCCACAAAAATTCCAACAAAACAGCTAAGGCTGCTCTGGCATTTTAGAGCCTTCAGTGGCTAGAGTTTCATAGGCTTAGTCAAAAGATACTGAGACTATTCTAAGAAGGCTAAATCTTAAATTTTCACTTGGCTTTTTTTCTTTCCTAACTCAGGTAAGAATTGTATTGAAGCCACTGTGAGTTTCACCCAGGGACAATTCAGTATTTAGCCTGGGGCTTGTGAATTGTTTCACTAGATATATTAAGGAGTTCAGCACCTAAAATAGCAGCTATGGCAGCATTTTACTTTTCATGTTATGGCTTAACTCAGTAAGACTAAAACAAAAGAAAAATTGTGTGACATACAAAAAAGCTTTAAGACAAAAAGCGAATCATCATTCCCTGAAAAAACTGCGCCTTAAATATTATCACTTTCTCCTCACCAGTGCTTTCATTTCCAACTAATGTTATCAATTTCTCAGAAACTACCACAATTGGAAGTCTTTTGCTACTAATCACAGAGCCTTCATTTCACACATTCTGAACATGCCCAAACAATTGATCTTGACCACACAATTTGAAATGAAAGGTAAAGAAAGGTAAAACAAAAAGAGCATTTTTACCTCCCCCCTTGGAATCCCCAAGCTGATGTCTTTCACAGCAGTGCTTCTCCTACTGAAACCACGATACAATTTTTTGAGGTTATATAGCAGAAGGACATCATTATCATTACTAGTTCTTCCACCAAAGACCCTCTTTCGTTCCATTGCTACATCTATGTCTTCTGAAGGATTGACTGTGCTGCTGATGGAACAATGGCCCCTAAATGGAGAACACAATGAGTGCCAAATGGCAAATTACACCCTATTATATTACAAGCATCTAAAAAGGAGCACTTGTCTATTTATAGTTGCATTATGGTTCAGGCATTCAAATCTCAGTAGAATCCAATGGGTGCGCTGATCCTGAATTCTCTCTTTCCAATTCCCAATAATTTTGAGGAGCAAAGTCCATATTTCATTTCTTATACGGAAAAAGATTACATTCAGTTCTTTTGGGGGGACAGGAATGGTGAAGGGAGGCTGAAAGGTCATTTTGATATGGCATTAAATCTTCTCTATAAGTTGAAAATAAGCTCAAGTGAGATGTGAGAAGAAGCAATTCTTGCAATACAGGAGCATGGGAAGAAAAATGCACTTAGGTACTAGACAGGTTTGTAAACAACAACAACAAAAATGATGTTACACGTTCTGGGTTAGCTCAAAATGAAACCTTCTTAAGAAATACTTGCTATGCTCTTTTCTGATGTAGATGCATGTTAATGGGGAAAGGAAGAAAGAGAAGACACACAAGCAAAATAAACGGGCAGCAACACAGGTGTCCCCAGGGAAAAACAATTCAGACCTTTTCTATTCATGGAAAATTAAATGAAACCATGGCACTTCAAAAGATGGTCTTGGAGAAGCTGGGAGTGTGAGGTAGCATCTCTAGAAATGTTGCAAGGGCTTAATACTGAAATTAGGCCAGCTCTGAAGAAAACACATGTTATTATGATGCAAAGCAGTAATGTGGGTATAGAAGTCTTGTGCATCTGAAATGGTCCTCTCTTACACAAGGAAGAGGAACAAAAAGAGGGCTTGGAGAGCACACTCTCACTGTTCTGTACCAAGATGACAACAGAGCGTGAACAACAGGTACCGCAAGGTTCATGATCTGCTGTACTATCATGTTCATGCCCTATGCTACTTCACAGCTCTTTCAAGTACAGTAATTTAGTACAGTACTGTTGTCTTACTGTCCCCAGTGTTCTCTGCAATTCCACGCCAAATGCAAGTGAGGAAATAATGTTGTCTGATGCACCATTAAATCTCCACAACTGTAATGAGTCCAGGGTGACTGGAAGCCAGGAGAACATACTGAATAAGCCATTCTTCCTATTCCTATGCTCTGGCACTGGCATTTTCCCCATAAACACAGTGGAAGCTTTTGTAGAGAAGGTGAAATGGAAAAGCAGCATTTTACATGAGCCACTGCCCAGAACCTGTCAGGTGTTGATCTGTTGTTGCTCCTTTCTGTTCTGGGTAGCAGAGGTGGGCAAGCATCTAAACCAATGGGCTTTCTGCCATCTATAAATATTTGATTGTCTATTGGGAGCTGACTTGGTCATTTTGTACTAAATCATTACTAAGCTTTCACCTATGGAAATAATCAGGACTCCTACGTGTCCATCAACCTCTGATGAGGAACAGATTTTATATTATATATATCTATATATCTTTTATATTATATATAGCAGGATCTAGCTTTAGGGAGCACAGCTCAGTGCAACATACTGCATTACACTAGAGTTCACACACAAGGAAAAAGTGTTTAATCATCCTAAAGTATTTTGCAGATGACTGCTTTGCAACATGATCTTTCAGTAAACAGGGATGAGGGAAGAAGAGAACCCTGCAAGCAAATAACAGAAGTTGACAGTTCCCTAACCGTGTGTTTTTTCTGGATATTTGGTCACTTAGAGGCCAGGAATTAATGTTAAAGAAAGAAAATCCAAGATGCTATACTGGCAAAATTCTTTTTGGATACTAGAACCAGCATTAGAACAGAGTTATATATTTTCTTTTCTCAGTTATTTGATTAAATTTTAAATGCTCTGTTTCCTCTCACAACTTACCTTTTCAAGTTCTCTTTTCCAGCATATGTAACTGATAAAGACACAGAAATAGAAAGCTATAATACATGAGCTCATTAGAGCCAGATAGAATAGTGATCAGATATAGTCTGTTTCCCAGTGTGCAATAGGATTTCATTTCCCTTTTTCTTTGGGAAATTAGTCAATATCCACAAAAGCAGAGTATAAATAACAGATGCAACAAACCTTGGTTTTTGCATCAGATCCCAGTGCAAGGAAACCCGCAGGAGAAGGAGGACTGTTCCCTGCAGGGCCATTTCCACAAAGATCCAACCAAGGAAATTCATCTCAAAAGGACTCACATAAGAATCAATTCCAAAATTACTTGTCAGGTCAAACTTGATTTGATTGTAGGAGAGTTCTATTAAACCCTGGCCCAAGCAGAATTGGGGGAAAACAATAAAAGCCCATTTGAAGATGCTGTAGAGATTCTCAAAACTCTGCAGAGGATGGATTTAGGGAGGGTTGGGCAAAAAGAGAAAAGGCAAAAACTTTGAATCACCATCCAACAGAAAAAACAAACAAAACAACAACAAATCATGAGCTTTATTCTAAACTCATCAGTATTTTAACTCCACTGTTTTTCAATATAAAAATTATCCTTATTTGCACCAATCTGAGATATGAATCAAGCCCTAACTTCTCCACATTTTATTAGATTTATTAGATGGACATGCAAATCAATCCTTTGGCCTAGGAACCAGCTCTTATTCTATATTTTACAGTTCCTAGCACAATGGAATCCTAGCATGCTGAGGTTCATAGATAATGCCAGATTACTACTACTGCTACATGATACAAATATTCCACAGGGGGCATGTCTACACATGCACCAATACTGCACAGTAATTTAGGTTACTTCCCCAAGAGTTGGAGTGTAATTCCAGCTCTGATGCCCAGTTATAGTAACAGGAAGAGATAGCTGCTGGAAACCACTAAACATTATCTATCACTTCTATGAAGCTTGTGTTATATTCACAAAAATCTAACATAGAAACAAAATGTTTCTAGCTTCTTCAATAAGAATATTAAACATGAAAGTCATGGTACCATAACAGGAGATATACAATTTAAGTGAGATTAGGTGCAGTATGAGGAAACCCTTGGTATTTCACCAGTATATTATACATAATAAATCTGTTGACATAATGGAGGACAACGTAAGGATTACAGCCAGTTAAATCAGCTTTTCTGTGATCTTGCATATCTATGATCTTGCATTTCCCAGATTAGCATACTAAAAAATCCAAAGCAGATTCCTCTCCTAGTAAATCATTAAATCTAAATCCAAAATATAATTCAAATCTAGATTCAAACAAATTTCCCAGCCAAGCCTTTTACACATATGGTATAACCTCATAAATCCAGCATCCTTGGGACCTAGGCACCTGCCAGAAATTTGAAATTTCTGGATTTTTGAAACATGAGGAAAGTGCATAGCTTTAGGACAATTTTCTTTGCTATTACACTATACAAGTGACTGAGCATTGTTGGAAACAATAGCTGCAGACTGACGAACAAAAGCAATGGCAGCCAGAAAAGTGCCGAACTTCTGGAGAAATTTCTGGAGTATTGGGAAACTATTTTTAATGCAATAATGTAGTGTACTGTATTTTTTTAAGGTGCCGGATTTTTGAGAATTCCGGAATTCTGAAAGCCGGATTTTATGAGGTTTTACTGCATTTTGAAACATTAATTGTCCATCGTCTCCTCTTAATACACAAGCCTAATTTTTATCAAGTATAATGAAAAGTACATATGTGTGTTAATGAGCATATCATTATCCACACAATAAATGGCAGATCCTAGAAAAAATTAGCATATCGTTTATGTTAATATTATTCAAACAAATTTTGTAAAGCATATTATCTACTCAATAGACCTGAACAATTCTCATTATATGCAAATTATGAATTAACAGTCTGGAAAATATCAAAGTTTCAGTTAAAGCTGGGGTTTTTTTTCCATTATTAGAGTGCAAACACTTTTTTGGTAAACATATGAAACAAAAATTAACCTTGGATGGTGCAAGAAAGTAGCTTCAACCTACTTTCGTAACCTACAAAAGCTTATAGCCTATGAATAGCATCAAACTGATGCCACATCTGATGAAATAGGTTACAGTCTTCAGAAGCTTATGCCTTTTTGAGTGAGGTAAGTCTTTAAGGTGCTCCTCTGCCTAACAAAGCAGGCCACACAGTAATTTCTATACTACTTACAGGAAAAATTAAAGCTCAGGGCTTATACTGACCTGTGTTTTGGTAATTATAGCTAACAAACGAGGCAAGAGAGTCACCAGCATGGTACAAAGACCAAACACAAAATTTAAGGAGATGTAAGAAATGAAGGCTACATCTGAACTTGAGAAGAATCTGGACACAAAATACATCCATGGTAAAGCTGCATATCTGAAATGAAAAAAACAAGTAGAACTGCAACATAAATAATTTAGATTCACTCTGCTTCCTGATTCATCTGCTCAGTATCCTGGGCATTCCCCTAAAGAAAACACAACACCTGTTTGCTGATTTTAAGGTTTATAATCTCTTCCCTAAATTCTTCCTCCTCACTTTTATATCTAGCATATCATACTTTCCTGTATTCCACACACATATTTGCTATTTTGCTACGAACAGATAACTCATTCTTTTAAATTTATCAGCTTCATATCTTTTCTTTCACTCTTCCAGGAACCTCACAACCTTGATTTCTGAATGATTACTAACCCAGGTCATTTTCAGTAGTTAGGCATCAGTGAGATACAGTAAACCACATTTGTTTAGGCATAAACCACAGGCTTCAAGCTATCACTGGTTATTATAATGACAACACACTGGAATGGAAACTAAGGAGCTCTGACCATTATGCCTAAATGATAGCATATGTCTGCTACAGACAGCACATTTAGTACAATTAATTATATATGGCAGACAATAATGGCTGGTACAGTGGTTCTCGTTAAAAACCAACAGTAACATGAAGTTACTGAAGAAACTACCAAAAGTATGGCATCTATATTTTCTATGTAAATAATTAAATGAGTACAGAAAGCATAGACAAGAGAGATCACAGGCCCAATTAGGGCTTCTGTCACCCATATAGGGTAAAAAGTTATCCTTTTATGACCAAGAGTGAGATGGCTCCACCAGACATTGCCCCCAAATGCAGCCCAGAGCAGTTAGCTATAGCCAAGTATTACTGTCCTACAAAGAACAGCTTATTGGATAGAAAATGCAAGCTTCTGTGTAGTTAAAAATGGGAGGACTGTATGCACAATGCAAGCAGCACAGCCATTAAGCATGCACTAATGATTCAAAAAAAAAAAAGA